TGTGCTGCCCACGGGCACCGAGTTGGGGACCCCTGTTCGACAGACTCAGAAACGTTGGTCTGTCCAGCTCTGTGGGGTCTCTCGTGATTCCACATAGGTCTTTCTAGTCTCCGGCGGCCTGCAATCCTTTGCCTTTGCCTGTGGACACGCGTTGTCAGATATTGCACAACCCATGGCGCTACAGAAACCATTCGCAACGGGATCGTCTTCTCCCGATAGCATAATCCAGTTGCAAATGACCGCAATATTGCGGCGGTGGTGCAATATTTCAGTCCGGTGTGGAAGCCGTCCTCCAGGTGCCAGGATCGGAACTGGCAACCCTGTTGGCAGATCGTATGTTTCTACCACTGACACCATCCCTGTCGTACCTAAGATTATTCCCTCCTGCTCTGAATCGGTGGGTTGTGCCCCCCCCACTCAAGAACCGTACCGGTGCTGACATAATTACTGAGAGCCAACAAAATTGCAGTCACCCTCTTTTCCATGCGGACCTTCCAAACATCCATTCCCATCTCCACTTCTCTTCTTTTGATAAACTACACTCTCCAGTTTGGTGTAGTGGTTAAGTGTGCGGACTCTAATCTGGGAGAACCGGGTTTGATTCCCCACTCCTCCACTTGCACCTGCTGATGTGACCTTGGGACAGTCACAAGCTCTGGCACAGCTGTCCTTGAAAAAGCGCAGTTGCTGTCAGAGCTCTCTCAGCCCCACCTACCTCACAGGGTGTCTGTTGTGGGAAGGGGAAGGGAAAGGAGCTTGTCAGCCGCTCTGAGACACCTTTGGGTAGTGAAGGGTGGGGTATAAATCCAATCTCTTCTTCTTCTTCTTCAAGAGCAGTTTCTGTCAAGAGCTCTCTCAGCCCCACCTACCCCACAGGGTGTCTGTTGTGGGGAGGGGAAGGGAAAGGGGTTTGTAAGCCGCTCTGAGACACCTTTGGGTAGTGAAGGGTGGGGTATAAATCCAATCTCTTCTTCTTCTACTTCTTCCTCTGGATTGGATTGAGCTGAACGAGTGCACGAGGCATTGAGGAAGAGCATTCTCTGCGAGTTGAACCTGATACAGTGTGCTTGTTTCACTGCCCTCGCAGCAGGATCCTGCCCTGTGGCCCCTCCAGATGCCGCTTGAACCTTGGGGGGGGGGGACTACGCACGGCAACGGTTACTCTCAATCGTGCACAGCTCCCACTTCTCCCGTCCTTTCAAGTTCACTGTCCGTATTTTGGGTTTTGTAGGACATTTGCCTTTTGGGGGTGTGATTTGCGAGATCCGGAATTTTTCGCCGCCCAGCTGCCTCCCCGGGCAAGTCGCTGTCTTAGGCGGGGGGCTGCGTGGGTCTGGTCTCAAGCACACTTCCTCGCCCTGGTGCCCACGCATGACCACAGATGCGCAGGGCGGTGCGCCACCGGCCATTTCGCGCCCCAGCTGCTGCAGAAATGGGTTCTGAACCAGCGATAGCGACCGTTGTGGTCCGACCGTAGTAGATCTTTAACCCAAAGAGCAAGCAACCCTCTTTGGTATTGAAAGCCGCACGAGAGACGTTGGCGTAGGGGGAAGAGAATAGCACGCCAAGAAGCATGCTGGGAAGGGCCTTCAGCAATATGCACTTGCATGTATATGGTGTGTGTGTGTGAGCACAGTTCCTGAGGATTGGCACCAGTGCTCCTTTCTAAGCTGTGGAGTCTCTTGTGAGCAAAAAATCTACTTTGTGAGCAGTGCTCCCTCTAAGCTGTGGAATCGTGTGAGCAAAAATTCTTCTTTGTGAGCTGCTGGTATTAAAGTTTTGAGCAAGCAATTTGCCTACTGCATAAATTACTTTGCCCTGGAGCCATCCTTCCTGAGCTAAGACAAAAATGTGTGAGCTGGAAGCTAAAAACCTGTGAGCTAGCTCACTCTAACTCATCTTAGAGGGAACAATGTTTGTGAGCTACTGGCATTAAAGTTGTGAGCGAGCAATTTGGCTACTGCATAAATCAGTTTGCTCCGGAGCCGTCCTTCCTGAGCTAAGACAAAAATGTGTGAGCCGGAGGCTAAAAAACTGTGAGCTAGCTCACGCTAACTCATCTTAGAGGGAACATTGATTGGCACACCTCTATTTTTGTCTGTTGTCCAGTCGGCATCTCTGTGGGGGTTGCCCGCCCCGCTTCAATTGCCATAAGAGATTACAGTGCACCTGAAACCCCTGTTTTTAGGGCGCTGGGTCACTCGGAAGAGGAAGCCGTCACTACCCGAAGGAGTCTTAGAGTGGCTTGCAGTCTCCTTTCCCTTCCCTTCCCCACAACAGACACCCTGAGAGTTAGGGAGGGCTGAGAGCGCTCTTTTGAGAACTGCTTGTGAGAGAACAGCTCTGAGAGAACTTGTGACTGGCCCAAGGTCATACCAGCAGCTGCACATGGAGGAGTGGGGAATCAAACCCGGTTCTCCCAGATTAGAGTCCACGTGCTCCTAACCACTACGCCAAACTGGCTCTCTACACCAAACGAGGGCGCGCCACTCTGCACATGCCCAGAGCCTTTCTTGTTGACATCCCGTGGTGAAGAAGAGGGGATTGAACTAGACGAGGAATCGGGGTGACGTGGAAGAGGTGCTCCAAATAGATAATTTACCTCTTTTTCCACCCTTCCTTAAGGGACAGTAAAAATGTAATCAGGGCGGGCAGGCAGGCAGGCCTCGCTGCCCTCTCTGGAGACAGCTGAGCCTGTTGGATTTCCGCTGGCCAGGCGGCTAATGACACAGGAGTTTGGTGGATGATGCCTCATTCCCGAGGATGTTCTCCCCCCCCCCCCCCCCGCCACTGCCACTTGCCTTGAAATACCTTTCACTCCCTCCCTCCCTCCCAACCATCTTCCACTCTTGCCTGTGGGGGGGAGCAGCCTTCTCTAATCCCAGCCTCGACTCTTCCTCCTTAATCCTCCTCTAATCTGATCTGGGGTTTTGTCAGGGTTGGTAAACTCAGAGGGGGCCTGATGGTTTAATTGCGACTAAACCGGCCTTCCTGCTTCCCACCTGGGGCCGCCGCGAGGCCAGGTGCGGAGGCCTTGTGGGTAATCTCAGGACTCCCGGGTTCTATTCCCAGCTCAAGGTGGGGAGCGGAGAGCCGGGATTTCTTTTCCTTCTTCCTTCTAAATGCTCGGAGCAGGCCTGCCGCCCTCATTCTGTCCCTCCTCGAGCTGCCAAGCAGCAGCCCGCCAGGCAGAATCCAACAGGTGAAGCTTCTGTTCCTCCCCACCTCCCTGGCCACCGTGGTTTCCGTGCTAGGGAAAGCCACATGTCTGCTCGAGGGCCCAACTCGGTGGGAGGACGAGAGATCCGGGAGTCAGCCTCCCACGGTATTTTGGACAGCAAAGAGGAGTGGATAGCATAGGTGCAATGCTCCCTCTCAGCCGTGGGGTCTGTGAGCAAGAATTCGACTCTGCGGGCTACCGCCATTGATGTTGTGAGCGAGCGTTCTGGCTACTGCATAAATTAGTTTGCTCTGGAGCCCTCCTTCCTGAGCGAAGTCAAAAGTGTGTGAGCCGGTGGCTAACGGTGAGCTAGCTCACACTAACTCAGCTTAGAGGGAACACTGGATAGGTGATTGTGGAAACAGCGCAGAGGTGAAAGGGTTAACCACGACATGCCCTGCAGCGGGGGCCCCCCACCTGTCAGCCCCACCACCACCTATAGCTAGAAATTAAAAACACCCCTGGGGACCCACCTGACCTATTGTAGTTAAAAGATCTGAGAATCTGTGAGCAAAAATTCTACTTTGTGAGCTGCTGGCATGAAAGTTGTGAGCGAGGGATTGGGCTACTGCATAAATCAGTTTGCTCTGGAGCCCTCCTTCCTGAACGAAGGCAAAGATGTGTGAGCCGGAGGCTAAAGAAACTGTGAGCCAGCTCACACTAAACTCAGCTTAGAGGGAACACTGCCCTGGATGTCGGGGGAGGGGGCCCCACAGGGGCGGGGTGAGGATTTCGGCTTCACCAGCCAGGTGCGGCAGAGAAGGCAGGTGAGGAGCCCGTCTGCCTGCTTTTTCTCAGGGCAGGCCAGGGCAGCTGGCGGCCTGGGACGAGAAGACGCTTGGCACGGTTGGCTTTCCCCAGTGCTGCCCCTGGGGGAGACAGCCGGCTCTGAGAAAATGCCCCCTTTGCTCCTCGCCACGTGGGTTCGGGCTGAGCTGGCACCCTGGCCGGGGTGCTGTCATGACGCGGCCGCACCCAGCTCCTGGGTCAGAGTGCTCCAGCGCAGCCACGCCTGGCAGTTTCCACGGAGCCTGCCCGTCCCCTTGCCCGGCCGGTTGGGCCTGCTTGGCAGAGAGGGGCGCGGCTGCCCCTGCCGGAGCCCGTTCCCACCCACCCCCTGCCCCTGCAAAGGCAAACAGCTCCGCTGGCGGGCACCCAAGGCGGGCAGGGAGCGGCCGTAGAGTGCTATCCTCCGTGCCCGGGCAAGAAGGGGCATGCTGTTCTATTCTCTCTGCTCTCCCCCCATCCGTACCCATGGGGCACCCAAACTATCTGGGGTAAAGGTATTCCATGCCACAGAGGGCAGAAGTGGCAGGCCGAGCCTGCTTCACAGGGTCGGCGTAAGGGTCAGACGAGGGAACCGCGTGTGTCTCCTTGAGATCCTCGGTAGAAATGAGCAGAAGTGTCATAGCAGTAGGCAAATTATCGTCCCGGGATTGTCCTTTCTGGAAATAGTTTGCAGAGACGGGGACGCTGGACAAAGCGCAGTGGGTCATGGCCCCACTAATGTTCTCGGCGTTCTCTTTCCTACCTAGCAAGGCTGAGGTGCGTTTTGCAGCTATCTCGGGAGGCACTCAATCGCGGATGAGGAAACGCTTTACCTGTTAGATTTCTGCCCGCTGGGCACCTGTGTTATAGACTGGACTAAGGTGGGGGAGTTGGTGACCCTGAATTCCGCTCTGGTCACTCAGCACGTAGGACACCAGCCTTAGGAACAGGGCCTTGGTAAGAGACAAAGGCCAGGTGAGGAACAGGGGGGTTTGGTTGGACTATCTGGGGAGGGGCTGTGGCTCAGTGGCAGAGTATTTGCTTTGTATGCAGAAGGTCCCAGGTTCGATCCCCAGCATCTCCAGTTAAAAAGGACCGAGCAGTGCTACTGGCTACGGGGCACGTCAGTTTCCCTCCTGCCTGTACCTTGTACAGGTGTCCCTTAAATAAGTATGTTGGAAGGGGGACACACATGATGAATAGTCCCTAGTTCTACTTAAGGGGGGACTGATTTAACACGTGGAATTCACTGCCACTGGATGTGGTGGCAGCTACAAGCACAGACAGCTTCAAGAGGGGCTTGGATAAACATCTGGAGCAGAGGTCCATCAGTGGTTCTTAGCCACAAGGATTAGATGGAACACTATCTGGGTCAGTGATGCTCTGTATTCTTGGTGTTTTTTGGGGGGGGCAAGAGTGGGAGGGCTTCTGGAGTTCTGGCCCTGCTGGTGGACCTCCTGATGGCACCCGGTATTTTGACCACTGTGTGGCACAGTGCTGGACTGGGTGGGCCATTGGTCTGATCCAACATGGCTTCTCTTATGTTATGATCTTGGTGCTTGTGGGGGGGGAACGGTGAGAGGGCTTCTGGAGTTCTGGCCCTGCTGGTGGACCTCCTGATGGCACCCGGTATTTTGACCACTGTGTGGCACAGTGCTGGACTGGGTGGGCCATTGGTCTGATCCAACATGGCTTCTCTTGTTATGTTCTTGGTGCTTGGGGGGGGGGCGACGGTGGGAGGGCTTCTGGAGTTCTGACCCCGCTGGTGGACCTCCTGATGGCACCTGGGTTTTGTCCACTGTGTGGCACAGAGTGTTGGACTGGGTGGGCCATTGGTCTGATCCAACATGGCTTCTTTTATGTCATGTTCTTGGTGCTTGGGGGGGGGCAACAGTGGGAGGGCCTCTGGAGTTCTGACCCCGCTGGTGGACCTCCTGATGGCCCCTGGGATTCGGCCACTGTGTGACCCAGAGTGCTGGACTGGATGGGCCATTGGCCTGACCCAATATGGCTTCTCTGATGCTCTTATGATTCTCAGTGCCTCAGCCCTGTCCCCATTTAATAAGCACGGTGTGTCTCTGCCTCACCAAATTACAGGCTGCTGGTTCGTTCTGATTCTTGTCTCTAATCGTGGGTTCTCACGTATGGTTCCTGGTTTCGGCCTTCAGCCCACTGTCTGCCACAGGGCTGTGCGTTACGGGGAACGGTGGGGTGGGCTGGCGTCAGTTCAAACGGCACAATTAAGGAGGGAGAGCTACGGGCGGCCGCCATAGCTGCCAGTGCCCGGGCGGAAATCCAGCTGGCGAAGCTGATCTGCCGGAGAAGCTTTACCTGCTGTGTTTCTGCTTTCGGTAGGCAACCAGGGTGGGGCAGGGAACCAGTGACAGACGGAGGGGAAGGTTGGGGCTTGGAGGCTCCAGACATTAAGCAATGGCAAGTGGTGTTTCTTCTACGAGGATTGGCATTGTGCTGTGGGTTCGAACCACTTGCAAATTTTAACCTTTCCCCTCGGGGGGGGGGGCAGGCCGTGGGTGGCACGAGGGAACAGCCGTATCTTTCCTAGGAATCTGCCACAGCCAGCCCTCAACCAAGCTGGTTATCTGGGCCCCCGATCTGCTTTGCGTTGTATGGGGGCGAGAGGACTTCCTCTCTCGGCTGAGATGAAGGTGCTGCGTTCTGTCGGTGTGCTTCCTTTTTAGCCGCTTTGGTGCCCGACCTCCTCCTCCTCCTTCCCTGAAGGAGACGTGCTCAGGCTTGGAGGGGGTAGGGGGTGCGAGTCCACCTGGCGTGCTGCCGCTGAGCCGAGAAGTCCCCAGTTTGAATTTTGCAGGTTCCCTAGACTTGCTTCGTGGCCTGAGTGCGTGGCACGCTCTTGGCTTCAGCTTTCCCTCATCTGTGGAGAGGGGATACCAGCATTTGCATAGCCACTTTCTAGGGTTTTTCAAATGTATCGTCCCCTCGTACTCTGTACAACAGTCTTGCAAAGTAGGCCAGAATAGTTATCTCCGCAAGACAGGGGGGGGAAGGCCTAGGTCACCTTGCAAATTTCTGGAAGACGAGAGATTTTGAACTGGAGAGTTGCACTGGGCTCCATCAGCTCCTGATGATAATATCGGCCCATCTGTAAAGACCCTTGCGAGGATAATGTTAAGGGTCTTGAATGTACTCATGTGCCTAGTGCGCATTTTGGTTTTGTTTGTTGAAAAATAGCTTGAGCCCACCTTCTGACCCGCTTAAACTTCCTTATGACATAACAGGAAAACCATCCGTAAGCTACCCATCGCCAACTAGGGAAACTACGTAGCGGCAGCCAACATGAGTCGATAACCGGTCGAATATGTCAGAAGTTAATCATCTACAAGCTTAACAATCAAGACAGCACTGATCAGTGCACTTCTGATGGCCTCTGAGACCATCTATAGCTTGTCATCTAAAGGGAAATGGGGAATGCAACAGGCGAGTCTCGCTAGAAGGGGACTCCGGCAGTATTGGTCCCACTTCTGAAAAGGCCCTGTCCAACATAGCCTTTGGGAAAGGGCAGGATAGGAATCTAATAAATAAAAATAAATAAATACACTTCAGGGCCACTGCTCCCTCTAAGCTGTTGAGTCCTGTGAGCAAAAATTCTACTTTGTGAGCTACTGGTATCAAAGTTGTGAGCGAGCGATTTGGCTACTGGATAAATCAGTCTGCTCTGGGGCCCTCCTTCCTGAGCTGAGACAAAAATGTGTGAGCCGGAGGCTAAAAAAGCTGTGAGCTAGCTCACACTCACTCAGTTTAGAGGGAACACTGTTCAGGGCCTCAGTGGGTGACCTTGATGCACGCCTGACCTTATATCGGAGAAGGTGATCCTCGTGGTATCTGTATTGCTGCAGGGGTTGAGGGTAGTCGGTGTCGTGGTGAAGAGCGGCGGACTCTAATCTGGAGAACCGGGTTTGACTCCCCACTTCTCCACACGAAGCCAGCTGGGTGATCTTGGGTCAGTCACGGTTCTCTCAGAGCTCTCTTAGCCCCGCCTACCTCACAGGGTGTCCGTTGTGGGGAGAGGAAGGGAAGGCGACCGTAAGTCGCTCCAAGACTCCTTCAGGTAGTGAAGAGCGGGGTATAAAACCAACCAGGGGTCGTTTTGTAGAAAAAAAGCTAGGGGACTCATTAGCATACCTCATTAGCATATGCCACACCCCCTGACATCACCGGAAGTGTGTCATAAGGCCACACACCCCGCCCCCAACGGTCCCGGCTGCCGCTGCCTGGCTGAATGAGGGCCGGAAGCGGGGCAGCCGGAAGCAGGGGGCGGGGCTTTGTCATGTGCCCCGCCCCCCGTACCTCACCCGGGGGACCTGCGATCCCCCGCGATCCCCCCCGAAATGACCTCTGAAACCATCTTCTTCTTCTTCTGTGACGTAAGCTGGGCTGAGAGAGTGTGTCTGGTCCAAGGTCACCCAGGGAGCTAGCTTTCTGGTTGAGTGGAGGTTTGAATCTGGATATCCCCAGGTCCAGTCTAAATCTTCAACCTGGCTGTGATACCGTCTGGCTAATATCCCCGTTCCCTCTGTTCCATGCAGGTGAGGCAATGGGCAGCCCTGAAGACGACTTGATTGGGATCCCTTTCCCAGAGCACAGCAGCGAGCTCCTGGGACGCCTGAACGAGCAACGTCGGCGGGGGGTACTGTGCGACGTGACCCTGCGGACTCAGGGTTCAGAGTACCGGACCCACCGAGCCGTGCTGGCCGCCTCCAGCCGCTACTTCCAGCGGCTCTTCGCGGGGCCAGGCATGGGGGTGTGCGAGCTGGATTTCGTGGGGGCTGAGGCTCTGGGGGCCCTCCTGGACTTCGCCTACACCGCCACGTTGACCATCAGCACGGGAAGCCTCGGCGAGGTGTTGCGCGCGGCACGCCTCCTCGAGATCCCTTGCGTCATCGCGGCCTGCGTGGAGATCTTGCAAGGCAACGGTTTGGAAGCCCCCGTTCCCGACGACGCTGCCCGGGAACGTGCCCGCCGCTATCTGGAGGCCTTCGCCACCCTGCCCAACGCCGAAGGGGACTTGGCCGAGCCCCCGGCCTGCCCGGCCCCCCGCCGCAGCAAGAAAACCCGCAAGTTTCTGCAGACCAAAGGTTCCCGCCTCAACAACCACGTTGTGGAGCCGTCTTCTTCTCCGTCCCCTTCCTCAACCGGGACGCAGGGGCGCCCCAGCCCCCCCAGCCAGGCTTCTCCCGCGCCGGCCTTTGGCCTCCCCCGAGAGGATGAGGAAGAGGGACTCCAACCTTCTCGTACCTATCCTTACCCATACAGCCGGGGCCTCTCGCCCGAGGATATGGGTTCCGACGAAGAACCCGTCGACCCCAACATCATGAACTGCATGCGGGCACTGAACACGGACGGGCTGACTCCGGGTCTCGATGCCCCTGACAAGCTGGTGCGCAAGCGCCGCTCACAGATGCCGCAGGAGTGTCCCGTCTGCCACAAGGTTATCCACGGTGCTGGCAAGTTACCCCGCCACATGCGCACCCACACCGGGGAGAAGCCGTTCGCCTGTGAGGTCTGCGGGGTCCGCTTCACTCGGTGAGTGCAGCCGTGGGGCTCGCTTTCCACCCTTCGACTTGGCGCTCTCCCACACTGCCCCACGTCCTGCCAGAATTCCATTTATGACACTGGGGGTACTGGTGTATAAATCATGTGAAGGTTCCCTAGCTCAGGTGACCTTCCCTGCCTGTAATGTGCTCTAACATAATGTGCTTCCCAGGTCACAGTGTCGAAAGCTATCGCAGACTTAGTAGGGTGAGTCTGCATTGGCTTTTCCCTCTGTTGTTTTACCAAACCCACGTTGGAACAGAAATTCCCCTTGTCATCGCATGCCGCTTTCGCTTCCTTTGATCGTCGGATTTTATGGTACCCTCTGCATTGCATAGGAGCTGCGGTGGCTCAAGTGGTTAAGACGCTGAACTGCAGGCTGTGGAAGGTCAGTAGTTCAGCAGTTCAAGACCCGGGTGCCGCAAGACAGGGTGAGCTCCTGTCTCTAGTTCCAGCTCCTGCCAACCTAGCAGTTCGAAAGCAAGAAATTGCAAGTAGATAAATAGGTACCACTTCGGTGGGAAGGTAACAGCGTTCCGTGCACCTTGGTGTTGAGTCATGCCGGCCACATGACCACGGAAACGTCTTCGGACAGGGCTGGCTCTTCGGCTTTGAAACGGAGATGAGCACCGCAACCCTAGAGTCGGATTCAACTGGCTTTCGAGCAAGGGAACCTTTACCTTTACGTTTACTGCATTGCATGCCGCTTTCGCTTCCTTTGATCGTCGGATTTTATGGTACCCTCTGCATAGCATGCCACTTTCGCTTCCTTTGATCGTCGGATTTTATGGTACCCTCTGCATTGCATGCCGCTTTTGCTTTCTTTGATCATCAGTTTTTATGGTACCTTCTGCATAGATATCTGGCCGTTCAGGGGTGACTTCGCAGTCAGTACGGCGTTGGCCCCGGAGTATTTGAATGTGGTTTTGAGCTGCACCTTTTCTGTTCCAGCATGGGTTTGGTAAAACGACAGAGGGAAAAGCCAATGCAGAACCAGCCTTAGAGAAATACTGGGAAGCTGCTGCTCGCACAGAGATGCGTCCCCCTTCGGCCATCACCCCCAAAGTCAAAGGTGGCTTAACAGGCTTCTGCAGCCCAAGTCTGACAATCAGGCTTAACTGGGAGGACTGCAAACAATTTTTGTGTGTGTGTTTGGGAGGGGCCGTGACCAAAGCATCTGCTTGGCATACAGAAGGTTCCCCCCCCCCCCCCCCCGACGCCTCCACTTGACAGGGTCAGGCAGCCAGTGATGTGAAAGACCCCAGGCCGAGATCCTGGAGAGCTGCCACCGCTCTGAGCAGACAGTACTGATCTCAACAGACCGACGGTCTGTTTCCGTACACGGCTGCTCCGTGCAAGTGGTTTTTAAGGATAGCTTCTTTCCCCTTCGCCCCCCACTGGCTTCCAGGGCACTGGAAACAGATGCTGGACACGAGCCGGGACACCTGTTGAAGTCAGCACCCGAGCTGAGCTTCTGATTTGTATTGTATCTCCATGCTTGGGAAGTCTTGTGTGCAGGTGACCCTGGGGTGGGGGGCCCGAGGAAGGACATTGGTGGGGCATAGGGTTGCCAGGTCCCCCCCGGTGACCAGCAGGGGGTGGAAGAAGAGATTGGATTGATACCCCACCCTTCACTACCCAAAGGAGTCTCAGAGCAGCTTACAATCTCCTTTCCCTTCCCCTCCCCACAACAAGGCACCCCGTGGGGCTGAGGGCTCTCCCGAGAACTGCCGATGAGAGAACAGCTCCAAGAGAACTTGTGACTGACCCAAGGTCACACCAGCAGCTGCATGCAGAGGAGTGGGGCCTCAAACCCGGTTCTCTCAGATTTGAATCCGCACTCTTAACCACTACACCACACTGGCTCTCGTAGGGTTGCCAGATCCAGGCTGGGAAACTCCTGGAGGTTTGGGGATGGAGCCTGGGGAGGACAGGGGACCTCAGTGGGGCACAATGCCCTAGAGTCCTCCCTCCAAAGCAGCCATTTTCTCCAGGGGAACTAACCTCTGTAGTCTGGAGATGAGCAGTAATTCCTGGGGATCCCCAGGCCCCACCTGGAGGCTGGCCTCCCCTTGCCTTTCCTGGAAAACCGTGGCAGGGGTTCATACCCCACCTTTCTGAAATCACTCTGCCCTAGGCTGCGGTCTCCTCTATTAGGCCCGTAGACAGAAATCTGAAGGCCCAAGGACTTACACATTGAGGGATCCATTATATACATCTGCATGAGACAGCAAAAACCAAAATAGAAGTCTGATATTTAATTTTAATTGGTGGTCCTCCTGGTGGATTTCCCTAAGGGGCCAGTGTCCCCACACCTGCGATCCCCTGGGCCTTATTTGCTAGGGCTCGCGGCTCTTTCCACTCTGCAGGCTGGGTAGAGTCGAGAGTGCCTCTGGGCATATACAGAGCCTCCGTCACTCATCTCGGTGGCACACATTCAGGGGAAGAGGTGGCTGGGCTTCTAGCAAAATTCCAGCTGCTTGTCGCTTCCACAAAATAACCACTTCCAGGTCTGACGCGTGGCCCCCCCTTTTTTCTTTCCCTCTTCCCCCAATTTGGGGTGATCATAAGGGTGTTTCATGCAGGGCAGGCTTTGGGCACTGCCGAAAGTGGTGGGTTGTTCTAATTGCGGGGATGCTCTTCTCCGTGGAAACATTAAACCGGGATGTTTAGAAATTGGTTTCCAAGCACTTTTTTGTGCCCAGCAAATACAGCCCGAAGGAGCAGATGGACTCTCTTGGAATGCAGCTGGCGCAGGCAGAGACGTCTGATTCCAGCGGGTTTCAGTATGTAGCTGAACTATACAATCCAGTTCATACATTGAGCAGAATCAAGCAGAAAAGGCTTTCCTGGATCAAACGGTTTCGTTTGGGAAGGGGGAATTGCATGCCATGAAGTAAAACAAGAGCCGTGACCTTAGGGTTGCCAGCTCTGATTTGGGAAACACCTGGAGATTTTGGGGGTGGAGCCTTGGGAGAGCAGTGGGTTTTCGAGGCAAGAGACACCCAGAGGTGACTTGCCATTGCCTGCCTCCGCGTCGCAACCCTGGTCTTCCTTGGAGGTCTCCCATCCCAGTACTAACCTGCTCAGCTTTAGTGGAAGAACAAAATTTGAGTCCGGTGGCACCTGTAAGACCAACAAAGTTTAATTCTGGGTATAAGCTTTCGTGCGCAGGCACACGTCTCCGGGTATCGGAAGAAGTGTGCATGCATGTGGAAGCTGATACTCAAAACTTTGTTCTGTCGCTTCAGACCAACACAGCCCCCCACCTGAATCTAGCTTTGGGGGTAGAAAGGGACATTGGGTCGCCGCTGACTTATGGTGACCCTGTGGGCCATCAGAGTGGGCTTGCCATCGCTTAGTGACTCCGGACTTCCTCGGTGGTCTCCAGGGGTCATTTCGTAGAAAAAGAGGTGCAGGCGCTCATTAGCACAACTCATTCGCATATGCCACACCCCCTGGCCAGTGTTCACCCTAAGCTGAGTTAGTGTGAGCTAGCTCACAGTGTTTTGGCCTCCGGCTCACACATTTTTGTCTTCGCTCAGGAAGGAGGGCTCCAGAGCAAACTGACTTATGCAGTAACCAAATCACTCGCTCACAGCTTTAATGCCAGTAGCTCACAAAGTAGAAGTTTTACTCACAAGACTCCAGAGCTTAGAGGGAGCATTGCCCCTGACATCACCAGAAGTGTGTCAGAAGGCAACACCCACTGCTCAGGCTCCAATGGACTGTTTTGGATTGCTAGCTATTTTTTTTGGGGGGGGGGGGAAACGTGCAAATCTGTCCTCGCAGAGGAGGGAGAGCTTGTACCTGAACAAAACTTGGTCTTAAAGGTGCCACTGGACTGTTGGATTGCTAGCTATTGGGGGGGGGAGGGGACACGTGCAGATCTGTCCTTGCAGAGGAGAGCTTGTACCTGAACAAAACATGGTCTTAAAGGTGCCACTGGACTGTTTTGGGCCAGGGGGGCAGGGGGGGGGCTCTGCAGCTTACCTGGCTGCTTCTTGCTCTGACTGAGAGCTGCTGGGAGCAGGGGGTGGGGCTTGTGGCATGTGCCCGCCCCCTGGGCTCTTTACTGCCGGAGCTCCGCTCCTGTGCGCTCCTGCAGGAAATGACCCCTGCTCATAGGGAAAGTGTTTCAACCCTTTTATCATTCGAGTTGCCATTTTCTGCACTTTTTCCAAAGCTATCATATCCTTTTTAAGGCTTGTTGTATGTGCCCCCGCCCCCTGGGCTCCTTGCTGCCGGAGCTCCGCTCCTGTGCGCTCCCACAGGAAATGACCCCTGGTGGTCTCCCATCCGAGTACTGACCGGGGCTGACCCTGCTCAGCTTCTGAGATCTGATGAGATCGGGCTCGCCTGGGCCGTCCAGGTCAGTGTGCTGTCTGTATAGACTCGCTCTGATTTTGCTCTGATGTCTTCTATTCTTGATTATGCCGGCCGATGCTTGTTGTTTTTTTAAAAAATTACACTGGTTTCTATATTAAGGTACTCTTTAGTGGGGCGACCCTTACCGTTAGTGCAATTCTTCTGAAAGTAAAACGATGACATTTTAATGAGTAATGAATGTGACCCTACAGTGACTCCTGCCCTCTTTCCTCACCAGTGTCAACTCTGGGTCGGGGGATTCCTGGAGATTTGGGGGGTGGAGCCTGGGGAGGGTGGGGTTTGGGGAGGGGAGGGGACTCGGAAGGGTGTAACGGCCCGGGGTCCGCCCTCCACAGCAGCCGTTTCCTCCAGGGGGGTTCGCCTCTGTTATCTGGGGATCAGGTGTCGTGCCAGGAGATCTTGGGGTTGCCATCCTCCAGGTGGTGGCTGGAGATCTCCTGGGATCACAACTGATCTCCAGGAGACAAAGATCGGTTCCCCCTGGAGAAAACGGCCGCTTTGAAAGGTGGGCTCTGTGGTGTCACGCCCCACTGAAGTCTCCCCCCTCCCCAAATCCTGCCCTCCTCAGGCTCCACACCCCCCCCAGAACTCCAGGGGTCAGTGTTCCCTCTAAGCTGAGTTAGTGTGAGCTCGCTCACAGTTTTTTAGCCTCTGGCTCACGCATTTTTCTCTCGGCTTAGGGAGGAGGGCTCCAGAGCCAACTAAATTATGCAGCAGCCAAATCGCTCGCTCACACCTTTAATGCCAGTCGCTCATAAAGTAGAATTTTTGCTCACAAGACTCCACAGCTTAGAGGGAGCCTTGTCAGGACTAGAAATGCGCATTCTTGAATTTGGGATTCGTTGCTGGTCAGAGCCCCCCCAAAGTCTCCGAGCCCCTCCCTCTTTTGACCAGCCTTCCCTTTCTCTGGCAGGAACGACAAGCTGAAGATCCACATGCGGAAACACACGGGCGAGCGCCCCTACTCCTGCCCGCACTGCCCGGCTCGCTTCCTGCACAGCTACGACCTGAAGAACCACCTCCACCTGCACACGGGCGCCCGCCCCTACGAGTGCTGCCTTTGCCACAAGGCCTTCGCCAAGGACGACCACCTCCAGCGCCACCTCAAGGGCCAGAACTGCCTGGAGGTGCGGACGAGGCGCCGGCGTCGGGCCGGCGACCACGAGTCCGAGTCCCTGCCCGCCGCCGGGACGCCCCCGCCCTCCGGCGACCTCGAGTTGACCAACGGGCAGATCGAGGGGCTGCTCTCGCTCGCCCGCTACTGGGACCAGGACCGGGCCCACCGGGGCCCGTCTCCTGTCCCCAAAGAAGAGGAAGAAGAGGAGGACGAGGATGAAGAGGAAGAAGGTGGTGTGGAGAAGATGCAGACCGACAGGCCAGCAGCAATAGAAATGGCGTGAGGCCTGGGCCTAGGCCTCGAGCCTGCCTTGCTTGGACAGTTGCCGTGGTGATTCTGTAAAGACTCCGCCATCGACTAGATGCACTATCCCCCCCCCCCCCCGGGTTGGGCC